TTCTTTTGAGGCCATAAGGAATTTGTTTCCCAAGTGAAGACAGGAAGAGTCCCTCATTTGAAAATTTTAAACTTCTACCAAGGTGAGACTGTTTTGACAACAGGTGGACACTATTCACCAGTCTTATCAACATATTTTTGCAAATATTTTTTTAATCTGATTAATTGAAGAATCCTGAAATATAATCTAATGTGGCATCTTTGCCAGATCATGACCTGTTTTTCACGATTGTATTTTTTATGTTTGAGCCTAGGCTACTCTCCAAGCTATGAAAAGGCACTGCTAGTTCAAGCTGTGGGTTGGCCATTTCCGCTTTTGAGTTGGCTGGGGTGAAACTCCAGACCTCTCAGGAAGGTTTGAAGGAATCAGCAACCCTTGTTGACTTATGTAGCACAATCGATGAGATGCCATCTTGCGAATGGACTGGACAACGTGAAACAATAAAAAAAAGCGTGACAAAGAAAGGATGTGGGAGACCATAGAAAAGACGTAGGTCATTTCAAGGGAACAAAGGCAAATTAAAAAAAAAAAAAATCTGTCCAAATTATAGTTCTAACATAAATGGCTTGGCTTTAAAATCTGCCTGGGCGCCATGTGTAAATGTAGAGAAACTAATATGCATACTGATGAGGCCACAGGAACGGTGGAGCATCTGCCGAGAACCTGTCCTAATGATTATGAAGATAAAAACGCGAGAGTGGAAGTGGAGGGAGAACTGGGTAGGGGTGAAGGGTGCAGAGAGACACACAGATGATCTGCATGTACTTGAAGACCTACTATATGGAAAATGGTTTATGTAAATAAACCATCCCTGCTCTATAAAACATTTAGAACTAGGGACATTCTAATTCATACCATATTTAAAAAAAAAACACAGAAAACCTAGTTTGACCTGTTTAAAAATAGAATGAATTGTATCTTAGGACAGGAGTTGTTGTTGTTTAAATTACTAAAAGCATTATCGTGGGGACTGTTTTAACAACAGGAGCATTAAAAATGAAGTTACTTCACTAAGGAGAAGTTTTGAAAGGCCTTAAAAGTTTTTTCCCCAACTGTAGGATATTGTACTTTTATGGTTATATCTCCCCCAAGATTATCTAGTTTTTGAACAATAATCCTATTACTCGCGGCACAGCTGGGAATTTTTAATAGTTCTATTTCAGGTCATTTTCAAATGTTTTTAGTTATTAAGAGTGTTGTCTAGACCCCCGTGAAGCCCAGCAGCATTTTTAATATGATCCTAAGGCACACGCAGGATGGTATTACATTGAGAATAAAAAATACGCAAATTAATTGTCTCAATCTGACCAACATCTTGACCACACATACATTTTTCCCTAATGCATTAAAGTTGATGTAATTGTTTTTTATAATACAATATTAATTTTACCAAGCTTGGAATATTGTTGAATTCACTTCTGAAGCCAAACATAACTGTAGAAAATACGAAAACATTAAGGTCGATAAAATCTGGTATAACTTATTTTTCACGTTGTTTTGAAAATAACTTATTCAGCAACTTGAAGGAACTATAATAAAACTGAGGGGCAGTTTTTGAACATCCAAGCTAGGTGTTCCAAAGATCATTCTAGAAAGTCTGTGTGCTTTACTTCCCGAGAAAACTTTAGGCCCTAATACAGAGCTGGCTTGGTCTTAGTTTGTACATAATTTTAAACATTTTTAAAAAATATTTTATTTATTTGAGAGAGAGAGCAATAGCAGGGAGGGGCAGAGGGAGAGGGAGAAGGAGACTTCCCACTGAGCAGGGAGCCCGACACAGGGCTTGATCCCAGGACCCCGAGGTCATGACCCAAGCCGAAGGCAGACGCTTCACCAACTGAGCCATTCGGGTGCCCCTGTACATAATTTTAATTAGATCAAATATGAGGTTTCTCAAGTAGCAGACTGGAGGGTGGAACATCAAGAATAATATAGTAAAATTGAGAATGAGAGAGGATTTTTTAAACAATGTACAAAAAGAAGAACTAAAATTCAGTATGGAGGCTTTATTTACTATGCTTGCAAACATCCTGATATAACTCTTTGGAGCTCATAGATATCAATGGGATGTTCCATTAATTGAAAAATATAATAATGGTGCTTAATTACTGTAAATACATATAAATTCCTTTGGCTATGTTGTTTAATATGGTAAGGTTTTACATTACCAATATAATGGACATTTATTTTTAAAACTCAAATATTAATATTGTAACATATATGTATGTGTATACAAATTAACTCCAATTTAAACCAAAGCAATAATTGGCTAGCATTTGTAAAAACGATCTTTGTCAGAAATCAGCATTAGAGAATTTGAATGCTTTGTGCCCACATATCTTTATCCAAATATATACATGAAGACTTTGTTAATTTGTATAAGCAATATTAGAAATGATTTTTCATTAGTGAAGTGAATAGTGTCCTATATATGTGGTTGATAGGAAATATTGGTCAGACTCTCTTCTTTTTTTAAAAAAATTTTTATTAATATATAATATATTATTTATTTCAGGGGTACCGGTCTGTGATTCATCAGTCTTATATAATACCCAGTGCTCATTATAACACATACCCTCCCCAGTGTTCATCACTCAGTTACCCCATCCCCCACCCCCTCCACTCTAGCAACCTTCAATTGTTTCCTGAGATTAAGAGTCTCTTATGGTTTGTCTCCCTCTCTGGTTTCGTCTTGTTTCATTTTTTCCCCTCCCTTCCCCTATGATCCTCTGTCTTATTTCTCAAATTCCTCATATCAGTGAGATCATATGATACTTACCAATCACAGACTCTCTTCTTAAATGAATGAGGTATAAGAATTCAGCAAGGTCAGCAGTCGAATGTCTTTGGTGCAGAGTACAGTGTTTTCTTTTTTTTTAATTTAATTTAATTTTATTATGTTATGTTAGTCACCATACAATATATCATTAGTTTTTGATGTAATGTTCCATGATCCATTGTATTTGTATAACACCCAGTGCTCCATGCAGTACGTGCCCTCTTTAATACCCATCACCAGGCTAACCCATCCTCCCACCCCCATCCCCTCTAAAACCCTGTTTGTTTCTCAGAGCCCATAGTCTCTCATGGTTCATCTCTCCCTCCAATCCCCCCCCCCCATTTTTCCCTTCCTTCTCCTAATGTCCTCTATGCTATTCCTTATGTTCCACAAATAAGTGAAACCATATGATAATTGACTTTCTCTGCTTGACTTATTTCACTTAGCATACTCTCCTCCAGTCCCATCCATGCTGATGTAAAAGTTGGGTATTCATCCTTTCTGATGGCTGAGTAATATTCCATTGTCTATATGGACCACATCTTCTTTATCCATTCATCTGTTGAAGGGCATCTCAGCTCTTTCCACTGTTTGGCTATTGCGGACATTGCTGCTATGAACTTTGGGGTGCATATGGCCCTTCTTTTCACTACATCTGTGTCTTTGGGGTAAATACCCAGTAGTGCAATTGCTGGGTCATAGGGTAGCTCTGTTTTTAATTCTTTGAGGAACCTTCACACTGTTCTCCAAAGTGGCTGTACCAACTTGCATTCCCACCAACAGTGTAAGAGGGTTCCCCTTTCTCCACAACCTCTCCAACATTTGTTGTTTCTTGCCTTGTCAATTTTTGCCATTCTAAGTGGTGTTAAGATGGTATCTCAGTGTGGTTTTGATTTGAATTTCCCTGATGGCTAATGATGATGAGCATTTTTTCATGTGTCTGTTAGCCATTTGTATGTCTTCTTTTGGGAAGTGTCTGTTCATGTCTTCTGCCCATTTTTTGACTTGATTATTTGGTTTTGGGTGTTGAGTTTGAGAAGTTCTTTATATAGCACAGTCTTGACCAGACCCCATTGGATCTCTATCCTCTTGCTTCACAGAATTCCTTGTCTTGTGACCTAGTTACAAGGTCAGCTAGTCCTATACCCAGAATATCACTGTGTTCACTTCAGAGTAAGTCTGCCATGCAAGGTTGGAGTATCTTAACAGAATTAGACTGTCCCCAGAGCAGCTTTAAGAACCAGCTATTTGCTTTATACTTGTTTACTAATAACACTTATCTGTTTGGCATAGACATCCTTCTCTTGTGATATAACCGATAGGACAGTTGTGGGGGAAAGAACATTTAACCTTCATTTCCCCTAGCTACCAGAGATGGTTCATATTTTCCCAAAAAGCCTAGGATTTTCTTCATGGCCATATTAGGTCTGTTTACAAAACAAACATAACATTATAGAATTGTGTAACCACACTGTATGATAGAAGGCAAACAATTTTGTGCACAAATAAGATTCTGTTACCTAAAATTTATGTCATGACCATCTCATTCTTTGACAATACTGGATAAATATGGAGTTATCTGTATTAAAATCACATGCAAGCCCAGAGTTTTAGTAATTTCAAGTGCCACATAGCAAAGAGAAGACACTACAAAGAAACCCTACAAAGAATATTAGCTAACTATAATATTGTTCCTCAAAGCAAAAATTTTATAACATATTCTATTAAAAATGTTCTATAATCAAATAATTTTCAGAAGTGTTACATAATTTGCCACTCTTGGACAATCACAATATACATCCATATATTACAGGCTCTGAAAAAGTTGTATTAAAGCCTCCTGTTCAGTTTTGCTTAATCCAGCATTTCCCCAATATATTGAATTTGGGAAATACTGAGTTACAAGAAAACCCGACTTGGACTCACCTTTTAATTGAATTGTATGGTCAATATTTGGAGGATACTGATCAAAAACTAAGTTTTACATTTAAGAAGACTACCAGAAAGGTGAGGGAGGTGAGAATATTGAGTCACTGACAGGAGACATTGTAGAATCCTTGTAAAATAAGTTTTCATACATAAAATTGTCCTGGAGAGGAAAGACAAAAACTTCTTGACATATTTGGCCAATAGTGTACCATATATTGTCAATTCTAAGATGCATTTCATTTTCTCACTTTAAACAGCTCTACAATCAGAATAAACCCTTTGCTTCTTTCAGATACTCTTGGCCAAGCAGCAGTCAGAATAACATGGTGGACATCACCTGACACTTCGGTAAGATTAAGAAACTCCAGGCATCAAACCTGGTAGGAAGGCGTTCGTGGGTGGTAGAATATTCAAAGACAATAGTGGAGTACTTTGTAAATAAATGCTGTATCATGAACGTCCTTGATGACCCAGAAAATAACACTGTATGGAAAAACACAGAGTTCAATAATTATCAACCAAAAAATTTTTCAGGAGAGTTGGATTCTGGATTGGAATAAGTTTCAGGGATACTTAAACTTATGTATTCTGCTAATACTTTCATTTTTATTTATGCACAGAAGTAATTTAAAAAAATTATGTATGAATAAGTTATGTATGAAAATTAAGTATGAAAGAGTTCTTTGAATAAGCATAATGTTTCTAAAGGGAACAAAGCATTGATTAGTTTAATTAGGAGTTTAATTGACAGCTTTTTTCTTTCCCAAGGGTACACAAAATAATGACGTATCTTAAGACTTTATCTGAGCAATGTTTAACTATATTAATTCTCCAAAGGATGCTAGAACTTTAAAATATCCCTCATGTCATCAAATTTCTCAGAAGAATTCAATACTTTTTTACTAGTTTTATTTTCAGATAGATGTGTGCGTTCAGACTGACCATTTTTAGCAAGTCATAGAGAATTGATCTCATTGAAGGATGTCTGTCCGTAGCTGCAAGGACCATACTTGGCCTAAACTTGCAGTTTAGCTAATATTATTGCAGAATATTAGCTAACTATAATAACTGATTTTTTTTTTCTGGTGTGTTGGTTGGCACATGATAGGGATGATGGCGAAACAATACAGTTGACGAAAAACATGTTAAAGGATTACTGCCATTGGAATCTGCAATTATCTGATAAGCTCTTGGCTGAAAATCTGATGTATGAGTTTCCTTTCTAAAACCTGTGATGAGGCTTTTGTCTACACGGAAACATTAACTGACTGAAGCTATGTTCCAGATTTTTCATTTTGTCATTCTTCCTCATCACTGACTGTCTTGTGTTCCACTTCAGTAGATTTGAAATTCAATAGTAGGAAAGTTATGATCTCAAAAATACATACATTCTATTTTATTTATTGTATTTATTTTCCTCTTTTGTAAATCAGCAACTTTAACCTTTCCTTTTATCAGGGAGTTATTAAAAATGAAAAACCCTACCATATTTTAAGGGAGTTATGCTTCAGTGCAATGTGACTATAAAATCCGTCTTCATCTCTAGGGAAGGTAATGAATTCATATAAGTGCCATCATAATCTAGTCTTGTGCCCTCCCCACTTTTCTAATAAAAATGCAGAGAGAACATTGAGAAGCTCAAGATCGCTCTAAAGAAAATAGGGATTTACGGAATATAACCTCACCAGACTGTTGGTGAATTATGAAGGAAGAAAGGCATTTATTTTGAGAACCATGAGCATTAAAATATTCACCTTTGTGGAGGTGTTGCTGTGTTCATGAGTAGGGTCTGAATTAAGTTAATCTCAGCAAGAAGAACATGGTGGGTTTGTAAAATATTAAGTTATCCTGATTTTTTTCATTTTTTTCTGGCAGTTTTTTCCCATTAATATCAAATGGCTTATCTTTAGTCCTTGTAAAAGGACTTAAAAGTAGGATAAGGTTATTATAATAGTGATGCCGATGTCATTGGCCTCCAAAATTTGCATTTCCTTAAAATTTGTCTTTGTTATATCATTCCTATGGGTACATCTACCCAATGAAAATTAAAGGGGAGATATTTGGCACATACGTTGTTACCTCTTCACTGCATAAAATAACTGTGCCAGATTGATGAGCCAGTAATTCCATTTTTGAAACAATGAGTTATCCAAATTTTATGCTGACTTTGGCTATCACTACTAACATTGCCTTGCATGACACATTTTAAAAGTGGGGTTGGAATTTGAAGTTTAACTGTTGAGAGACCAGAGGAAGGAGGCTATATAGGGTGAGAGAAAGAGGGAGAGATTTTTGGAGACAAGTGACATAAAACTACATAGACAGACTCTTCCTTCCATTGGGAAAGCTTTAGGAGATGTGGAGATAGAGGATGAGTTTTAAGAAACAACTGTTAAATGAAAGAACAAAGTTGGATGTCTACGAAGCAAATTGTGGGAGGATAGTGCATCATAATTAGACCTGGGAGTGTCTCAAAGATGGGACAAGTGCACATGAAGCCCTATGACATGGCTTTGGTATAAAAAGGTAGAGCACAATTTATGGCAAAAAGCCCAGGTTTAGGGGCGGACTGAGGAGGATCAAAGGATGATCTCCACTAAAGGTGCTCAGATTACTTAAAGAATACTTTCCTCATCCGTAAAATGGGAAAACAGCATTATATTAGAGGTTCATTGTATTAGTGCTTGTCACATGGGAGGCGCTTTAAAAGCAAAGTCTACCATTTTAATAGGAAAAGAAGTTAACAGTCCAAAGAATATTAGGGTAGAAAACAGCACTTTTTCAGGGGTCACATAAAGGTAGTTGGCATTTGTTTATGTATGGGAAAAAGAGATTGGAATATATAAAGCGGAGAACTGGAGAAGATATAAGAGGTAAACTGAATAGATTGCTGGACCCAAGGAATTAAACCTCTGTTCTTTACTTCATTCAACCAGTATTTATTGAATGCCTGCTATGTGTCTGGCAATGTTCTAGTTGCTAGGGATAGAGCAATAACCTAAACACTCAAAGAACTAGCAGTCAACAATAGTTGGTAGAGGTAAAATACATACCAGGTTAGAATAAGAGCTAAGAGTAGAAAATAAAGCAGGGAATGGGATTATGAAGTGTCAGGAGTTTAGGATGGTTGGGGGCGGGGGATGGGAGTGTTGAAATTTTAGACAGATTGGCCAGGAAAGGTTTCTCTGAGAAAATGACTTTTCAAGTAAAAAGCTGAAGGAAGTGAGACAGCAAAGCATGCACGTATCGGAGGGAAGCACATTCCAGAGAGGAAACAAAAGTTGCAAACACCCTGTGGCGGGAGGGTGCCGCCATGTTCCCAGAACAGTAAGGAGGCCAGTGGGCTGGAGCTGGAGGAATAAGTGGGAGAGCTGAGGGACAAGGAGTGGCTGTGGGGTCCGATTGTTTGTAGGACTTTGGCAGGGGGGCATAGAGCAGACCTAGGCTTTTACTCTGAGTGAGATGAGAAGTCTTTGGGTTTGGAGCAGTGGTATGTTCTGACTTACATTTTAATAAGTTCATTACAGCTGCTGAAGTAAGAACGGCCCAGAAAGGGAGGTAGGCATGAGAGGAAGAGGGTCAATGCAGATATTTTGACTCTTGTGAATAAGAAATGGTGGTGAGTGGTGGAGTTGGGGGTAGCAGGAAGTGTTCAGATTATAAATACATTTTTAAGTAGAACCAGTGGGATTTGTTAGAGGATTGAATGCAGGGTATGAGAGAAAGGGAAGAGTCAGACATAATTCCAAGAATTTGGCAACTGGAAAGATGGAGGACACTGAAGGAGAGTCAGGTTTGGAGGGATTATCATGGTTCCCAGGTTGAGGCATGCAAGGTTGATATGCTTTTTAAACATCCCAGTGGAGATGTTTAATAGCTGGATATGCAAGCCATGAGATGGATAAGATTACTTAGGGAGTGATTTTGATAGAAAACCGAAAATAGCCGAGGACTGAGCCCTGTGAGCACTGGGGAGATAAGTAGGGACCAACAAGGGGTACTGAGAAGTGGCCAAAAATGTGAGAGAAAAAGACGCAAATGTGTGTTCTGGAAGCCAAGTGAAGATATTTCGTATTAACTAGCATATGGATTAGAAAAGCAAAAGAGCAATAAAAAGAGATATCTGAGACATGTAAGAACGTTTTTTTTTAAATTGGAGGAAAAAGTATATTCCTCAGTGGAGAACAACAGTGGGAAGGCCTCATTAGAACGGAATTAACCAGAAAGAACAGCACAGCAGTCTTTCAAGGCAGAGTAGTGATGACCATTCACACCAGAGTCACCTGAGATGTTCATTAAAACGCGCAGGTCCCTGAATTAGGATTTTTCATGGCAGACTGAGAATTTGTATTTTCAGAAAGCTCCACAGGTGATTCTTATACACATGACTAAGGTGAACGAAAATGTAAAACAGAAAATAGATTCCCAGGAGCAGTGAAATGATTTATATGTAAGTGTGCAAATGTAGGTTGTGAATATGGAGATGGGGTCACTGTTTCAGGCTCCCACACTCATGATCTATATTTTTATCCAAGAACAGGATTAGATCACAGCCATGCAGGGAAGAAATGGACTGCTTTACTTTCAAACCTAATATCCTTTTCCACCAAATATATTAGAAAACTCGAATTGACAACATTTATTTTTTTCCATTTCATTTCATGCTCTGTGGGGGAGGAATTGGAAATTGAAATTTGCAAGGCCTCCTGCGGGCTGGCCTCTGCCTCTAGGGTACACTTAGACAACAAGTCCAGTAGAACCCATCATTGCATTGCTATTATCCCACTGACACAGTGATTCTGCATGTCAAAAAGGATCCCCCTTTCTTGATGTAAGCACAACACACATGCACACACAGAACACTTGATACAGAAGCAGCATCTGCAAAAACCTATGAAAGACTCATGTCGGGCTTGTGGGAATCCAATACAGTGCTTCATGGGTAACTTCAGATGCTCCCATGTCAAAGCAAGATTTTACCCTTATCTTTAGGGTCATGGGAGATCTCAAATAGAGTTGATCACCCAGTATTGGATGTCCATGAGAAGTACAGCTCTGCAGAAACAGCATTAAAAACCGTAACGCAGGGGCGCCCGGGTGGCTCAGTCCATGAAGCATCTGCCTTCGGCTTGGGTCATGACCCCGGGGTCCTGGGATCTGGCTCCCTGCTCAGCGGGGAGCCTGCTTCTTTCTCTCTCTGTGTGTCTCTCTCATGAACGAATAAATAAAACCTTAAAAAAAACAACGTAGATTTCTAGTTCGGTGAACTCTGTATTTGGAAAGTGTGGACGGGATGAAGGGGGAGGGGTAGTGTACATAGTCAAAAGTAAGATGTGTAGAAAGAGCCT